TGTTTAAAGGCTAGGACTGGAGGTGGCTTACATCATTCCTGCTCATATCCTGTTTCAAAACTCAGTTGCTTTACCTCAGTTTAATTGCAAGGGAGGCAGGGAAATGCAGACGAGCTTTCAGTAGTCTCTGCTACACCTACCAAAATTGGTTTATTTAAATAGTCATTTGAATCTAGGTATCATATCCAGGTAAGTGATGGTTTGAAAATACTTGGTACAGGGACACTTGGGTGTCCCAGTCGGTTGAGCATCAGGCTCTTGATTTCAGCTCAGGTCATGATCTCAGTGTTCTGGGATCAAGCCCTGCTTGGGCTCCTCACTCGGTGGGGAGTATGCATATCCCTCTTCCTCCGCCTCTGCTGCTCCTTTTCTCTCTCTCTCAAATAATGAATAAAATCTTTAAAAAAAGGAAAATATTAGGTACAAATTAAAGAGTGTTTCATACGTGTAGGTCTAGTTTCCTTATATATATTACTTTATTTGAAAATTGAAGAAAAAAGCAATACATGCTTATGGTAAAATATTCAAACAGTAAAGAAAGATATAATATTAAAAGTAAATGATTCTCTTCCCTTTGTTCTGATATCCATTTACCACATCCATTCGTGACCACTGTTAGGTTTCTCTCTCTCTCTCAAAATGTTTTATACATACATTAGTGCTTATCTATGTAGATCCTTTTTATTTTTTAAAAATGGGATGATTTTATTTATATGCTATTGTGTACATTTCTTTTTAAGTTAATAATCTATCAAAGAGCTAATTCTCTATAAATACATATAAATTTAGAGTGATAATCAAAATATTTAACAACCATTATAACATGGGCACTGACCAATCAGAATGGATGCTGGATGTGAAATGGGAGAAAGGTCCTGGAGGCTCAGGTGTGCTAGCAATTACTTTAATAAGGGCATGATGGTGAATAAGTTGGGGGCAAGGGTTAGTACCCGAAGAAGGGGCTAGGGATGGTGGAGGGAGAGGAACATGGAGGATATGCTCAGTTTCAATTGTTTGCAAGTAGTATGAGTATCTTTCAGTATTTTAAGTATCAGCAAAGCCATACTGGTGCACTAGGGTTGTATCAGTCCATGGAATCCATCAATATAATGACAATATCTGCATTTAGTGATCTTAACTGCATATCTACTTCATTCCAATAGATTTATTGCTTATTTTTTCACCTTAATATCTTCTGCATATTTATACTCTAGCTTTTCTCAATGATGTAATTTTTCATTTATGCTGCTCCTTTGTGAGACTCTGAGTCCTTCAATGGAAGGAGTGTATTCCACTTTTGTTTTTGGTCTGGTAACTAACATAGTACCTGATACAGAATAAACATTCAAATGTTGAGTCAGTAATCTTGAACTTCAGGTTCAAAACTGGTCTGGGTAATTCCCTTGAATGTTAGATCAATGGAAAGCAAAGAACAAGATAGAGAAGCAGACATGAGTAGAATGGCATAGATACAGGGCCTGAAAGACACCTGGATACCTAAGAGACTCCTGTGGAGGGAGGCCCAGTAGATAGTTTGGCTTCCTAATCAGGATAGATGCAGGGAATGCCTAACTGATACATCACTGAAATAGCAAGAGTTACCCATCCGGTTTTTCATCCTTTGAATATATAGGCAGGGAGACTATATTTGATTCCTACTGGCTGGCTAGTGAAGCAAGATTTCCTTTTATTATCGATCCTGGAACAAACAGAGATAATCAACAGTTAACTAGATATGGGACCGGGATTCTGACAGGTGGGATCATACTAAAATCTGCCTTAATCAATATCCCAGGAGAATATTAAACCTGAAAGTTGAGTTGGATAAAATATTTTATAATAAATAAATAGAGAATAATATAATTCATAATGAATTTATTAATTGGCTGAAATTAACATGTGCCACTAATTGCAGCAATAATAAAAATATCTGCAGAAATAGCTAATGATTATTAAAGATTTATTAGGTGCCAAGAATGTGATTACTGCTTTACAGAGATTATCTCACTTAATCCCCACAGCAGCCTATTAATCAGGTGTGATTTTGGTTGTATTTTACAGATAGAAAAATACATCCTAAAAAGTTTGTTAAATAGCTTGTCTAAATTCACATGCTAGTATGTGGTGGAACTCAATCCCTAGGGAAAGCCAGGATTTTTTTTTTTTTTTCAATCCTGACTTTTATTTCACATGGGGAACTTTAAAATAAATACCAACATCAGAGCCTTACCCTGGGAAATTATTACTTAATTGGTCTGGGGTGGGATGCAGTGATACTGGTATTTTCTAAAAAGCTGCCTGATGATTTCAACGGGTAGGCAGAGTAAAGAACTACTGACCTATCAAAGCGTATTATTGAGAGTTTAGCTTTACCCTCCAGTTGTACCTTGTCAATACAGAGAAATGATAATGGTATGTAGCTTGAACGAATAGTTTTAAAATTTATTTTACTCTCTCTGTTCTCTATGCACAGTCCTTATTTATGTATCCTGCATTTGCCTCACTGATCCTGCCTGCCCATTTATTTGCTTTTGTTTCCTGGAACATTTCAGTATACATACTGGGCGATGCAAAGGGTCTTACATTTTGCTTCTGCAAGTGCATTTATGTTTAGATAGGATTGCTGTTTCTAGGCCTTCACTGCTCTTAAAAATCTTCCTTTAAATAGTTGTTCAGGTATTATTATGTTTTCCTGTATTTTCAGCTATACCAAAGAGGCTGTAGCTGATTTGGTTTTATTAAGCTTGGTTGATTAGATTTTATTAAATGTCTCATTGTTTTAGTTTTATATAATGATTGGTTTAATAGTGCTTGTAAAAATTGCTGTGGATAATAAGTTTATGGTTCTAGATTTTTCCATGTAGTCAAAAAATTATATAAGACTGGATTCGGATTCACCTTGCTACATTTTCTGGCATAATAGTTTACCCTCCCTCCATTTCCAACCCAAGAAACATTATTAAAGTGAATTTTCATCACAATGATAGTAAAATGGATAAAAGGCATAAACATACATTTCAGAAAAGATAAAGTAAAAAAAGAAAAAAAGAAACACAAAAACTAAACCTACTCAATCAATTTAAGAAATGTCAATATTGTAGTTTTTATATGAATTAGCAACAATTTTCCCTAAGACTTTTTACCTTATAGATATAATATAATTTACATGTTTATCATTTTTATCGTCCATGGTGTCCTCATGCTAGAATGCAATCTCCACAAGGAAGGGCATTTTGTCTATTTTGTTCAAAGACGTAAGAGCTAAAACCAGTGCCTGTCATGAAGTAGACACTCAATGATAAGTATTAGTCAAAGAAATAGTTTACTGAATGTATTATTTTATTTCAGTTATTTTTTTTTTGTTTCAAGTTTTTATTTAAATTCTAGTTAGTTAACATATAGTATAATATTGGTTTCAGGAGCAGAATTTAGTGATTCATCACTTACATACAGCACCCAGTGCTTATTATAACACGTGCCCTCCTTAATACCCATTACCCATTTAGCCCATCCCTGAATGTATTATTTTAAATGTAAGTGTGTGTCTGTATGTATGGATAGCATTAACAAAGTTGTGGTGAATTGCACACAGTATTATATGACAGGCAGTATATAAATTCCTATAACATTTCTGAAGAGCAATCTGTGAAGAGGAATCATGTTTTTTGTTAAGTATTTTATTCAAATTATTTTTACTTTTAGAATTGTGCTTTAAGAATATAATCAGTGAAGGGCAGATTTATAGACAGAAAAGTCTGTTCATAGCATTGATAATCATAAGGAAAACAAAGATAACTGAATGTTAAATAAAATATGGCATTTATTCTTTCAAAATAGACTAAATAGAGTGAAAACACAGCGGTACAATGTTAAAAGAAAAATGGAGGGTGGATAATAGAATATGGTCTCAATTTTTTGAGGGACATATTATTACATCAAAGTGCTAATAGTAATTATTAATATCTCTGTGGTGAAAATAAGATTTTTTAAATTTTTTTCTTTGTAGTATATGGAATGCATGATATTTCTATATGCATATGTGTTACTTTGTTAATCAGAAAAATACTTCATTCATAAAAATTGGTTTTATCATTTTCTGACTCTAATATAACCTCCACAGGGGCAAGACTTTTTATCTGCTTTGTTCATTGGTGGATTCCCCATGCCTAGAATAATGTTTGGGATAAAGTAGCACTTATAAATATTTTTGAATGAATGAGTACACAAACAAATGATATACCTCCCTCTCTAAAGGCAATTCCAAAGCATTAAGAATAAGTTGATTGATTACTTCCTTCTTTTGTAGAGTTGAGCAATTAATCCATCCATTATTAAGCGTTAATTAAGTGCCTGTTTATAGCATATTTTCCTTCCACTGCTACTTTCTCATGGACTAAAAATGATCTTTGATCACCAGTTACAATTGCTTGGCAGATGTGGATCCTACTGTATGTGAGATTTAAAATAATTATGACAAATATTTTACCTTTAGTAAGTGCCTTTAAATTAGCTCTGTGTTTTCAGGTTTAAGAAGAAAACTATAATTAATCCAATAATTTATGTTATTATTCTGTTTCCCAGTGACAGTGTTTTTGGTTCACCATTTATAGAAGACAAAAGGGGTATAAGAATAATCACAGATTTTGCTGACATTACTGTTGGGGATGGAAACTTATTGAAAAAGGACAATTGACCAATAATATAAGACAATACCATATTGTACTTCATTGTAATTTAATAGGGGATGTTTTTAGATAATTTTTCCATGTTGCATGCAGTTTAGACTTATGCAAAAAGATATGTGCCTTATTTAACATTTTATCTTTTTTGCATGCTTTCTCAAAACTAGAATAGGAAATGAAGGACTTAAGGTAACTCCTGAGGGAATATAATAGTAATATTTATGTTGTAATTTAATGTTAAATAAGATGGTATCAATGTGTAGTGTACAGTGATATGGCTATTTTACACAGAGCTCTTGCTTTTTCTTTTTCCTCTAGGATTCAGAATTTCCCACAGATATGCAACCAAATCCAAACCTGTATTTATGTAAAGAAAATATTGGTCCAGCAAAATTTGACTACAAGCTGAATAACATTTTTAGACTTCATGAGCTTCCAGTGAGCTGGTAGGATTCTTGATGTTTTACTAATGCCTTTGGGATTTTATTGTCATGTCTAAATTGTGTTGCTCTTACAGTCATTCAAGGTCAAAGTGGTTTGCTCTTAGCCTGTTTCCAAATTGCTACTCATAACAGCAAAAGAATCTGCTTATAGCTGCTGCAAGAATCTTAAAACTAACTGGTTTAGGCACTTGGTGGCAGTGCAGACTGAGTGCACTGCTGTGTGTCTTTACTGTAGAGGCTGTGTGTGTAGGCTTGAAGCACAGATCATCGTTTCTAGAGAGGTTTGTAGGATTTCTTTTAAAGACGGGATCTCAGCAACTATGCATTTCATTTGATTGTTTTACTTACAGTTTTACCAATTACTGGTTTGTCCTCATTAACAAATCATTTATTTTGTTTTTGAAGACTATAGTTTTGTGAACCATAATCACATCAGTTTAAAGACAAATCTTATTACTTGGCATTTATTAAAATGCATTATTTTACGAATCTGCATACTTATATATATATGGGAAACTTATTTTGAGTCTTATAAAATTTTTACTCATATTCAGTTTTCAAGAAAAATATTAATGTGGATAATCTGTATATATATATTCTATCATATGGTTCTGTGGTATATTAAAATTTTAGGAGTAGCTTTTATATATGATCATGGATATATCATTTTAATTATGGTTTAGGTAAGTAATATTATTTTCTTACATTTGTTCATATATTCCCAATTTTATGTCATCAATCTTCAAGAAATTTTAGATTTGTAAAAAATATGTGGCAAACATAATGTAATTGCTCCTATTGTATTTAATGAGGACAAATGTCTCAGAATAAAATGTTAACCAACTCTAATAACTTACATACAGTGACCTGTGGTGAGTATTTTTTTTTTTTTTCTTTTGCAAACTTTTCTCTGCTCCCAATGACTGGATGTGTTATTTATTTTCTAAATTCTATGTGTTTGATTATTTCCATGTAGCAAGAATATTTATTGTCTGTGGTATCTTACAAGTACAGCAGATATGATCTTATCTGCCCTGATCAAAACCAGTAAGTTAATGAATTGAAAGGGTCTGTTAGTAAAGGAAGCCATAAAAATGACACATTCATACCTTAAGTATTCTACTTGGACTTAAAACAATGCATTTACATTCCCATGCCAGTCTTTTGATGTAAGGCCATGGCTTTTTCTTTGATTAAGTGACTATTGATTGGAATTCTACACCGTATTTCTTGCATAAGCTATACAAATAATGTATCGCTTACAGTTTCAATTTTGTGATTTCCTTAATCTGGAACAAGAACTTGAGACACCCGGAAGAAGATCCTCTCACCTTTCCATAGCATTAATTTAATTTTCATTGAGAGCAGCTCTCCTTATCCCACTCATATTTCATCACCTTGATTAATCTTTAATTACATTACAATAACAAGCCCAACTGGCTTATAAGGAGGGTTAGTAACAAACTCCTTGGAACTCTGTGTAATCATGGACCTTAGCTGGTGGGCGTAGCCTGTGCTGGTCTACGGGGGCATGGTCTGAGAGCTCTGAGCAATCAAGGTGCAATGAGCACAACTAGTGTGTTTTACAGAGAAAATAACAAATGCTGGTCAATCCAACAATTAAGTTGAGGTTAAGGGAAAAACTTCTATTAAATGAAAATGAAGAGAAGATAAGGAGGGAAATATTTAACTTTTAGTAAAAGACAAAATCTGGATTTCAGCTTCATTTCCAGCCTTTGGAAAGACAGCTGCCCTGGTGTAACTACTACTACTACTACTACTACTACTACTACTACTACTACTACTACCAGGGAATAATTTCTCTGTCACAATTTTCACTAGTTAGCCCATTAGGAGAGAAGACTAACATTATAAGTTAGGCAGTAAAAAAAAAAAAAAATCAATCACTAGTAGAAAGAATAATCACTAATCTTTTAGAGTAACATACCTCAAAGGAGGAATAAGCTATGACTTTGGGACAACTCATTTACCTGAGCCTTTTCTTGCCTGTCTTCTTCATTTCCAGTTTGTCTCAGTTGCTACTTCCTTATACCACTGTTTCTTCATTGTCACATGCTTGCTTCTCTCCCCACTATTTTATTCTACTTCTTTCTCTATACTGTCATTCTATGCTACCAACCATTAACTAGCCATAATATAAAATTCAGTTATAAATTTTCAGTGTTGCTCAAATAATTTTGTATTCTCTATTAATTTTAAAACCAAATCACTCACTCCCGGACCCCACATACACACACAGAAGGGTTTGGTACTTTATGGTTCTGTAATAAAATGTTTATTGACTTCTTGATATGTTTCTTTAAGGAATAAAGAAAAGGCTTTTGTTTTATAAGTAACTATTTTTGTTTGTCAGTTACCATCAACAGAAATTAAGTTCTTCCTCTGTGGTGTATAGATTTCTTAATCAAAATAATAATAATAATAATAATAATAATAAAAGTATCAGTAATAACAATAAGCATCTATAAATGCTAGAATTCAGCTGGTTTATACATGCTATATTTAACCTTTGTATTTCTATAGGGCATTTATTATTTTCCCACTTCTCTCTCTCTCTCTCTCTCTCTCTCACACACGCACACACACACACACACACACAAATGAAGCTCAGAGATTTTGAGAGTCACGGAGAAAGAATTTGTATCAGGTCTGGTTAACTCAAAAGCAAACCCCTAAACAGTGAATAAGCCATGTAATTATTTTAAAGAAAAATACTGAGGAAATAGTGTCTATTTTTACAATCAGGCATACAAGTTTGCCAGTAACATACAACTATATAATGTATGAGTTTGGCCAATATCCTTTTTTCCCTTGATAATTGCTTTAAACTTAGATATTAAAATAATTAATTAGATTGTATTTATATACAGAATTTGTTAATTATATGTTTTTTCCTTGGAAAAACAGCTATATTAAAATGTACTTTTACTGTTTTTCTAACAAGGTCAAAATAAAATAAATGCATATTAAATTCCAGATAATTAAAAAATTCTTAATGTTGTACTAATTTGCATTTTTATAGAGTGCAATTTCATAGGTCGAAGAACCAGAAGGATTTTAAATCAGATTAGTTAAGAGAATTTTTAAGTTCTGATTTAGGTAGAAGTCTTTTTCCTACTTTCACAGGATGGTTCCTTTCAGCATAGAAAATGTCCTTCAGTAACTCCTGTTAGTTAAAAATACTTTTTTTTTTCTTGGCCAGACAAGCCCCCACCACACCTATGCTGTTTCCTTAGAAGCTGCTCTGCTCATTTTACCAAAAAGGTTGGCAGCAGTGCAGATGGCACTAACATCCTCTACTTGTTCTTTCTGTTCTCCCCTCCAGTGGAGTTTCCTTTCTTTCCTCTGTCCTGAAGCTAGTTTTATCAGTCATTTGCTCTTTCAGTGCCTACCACCAGTCCCACTTAACTGTTCTTGTTTTCTTTACCTCTCAGGTTCAGTCAATACAACCTACCACACCTGCTTTTCCTCTCCTGACTCCCATTATTTGTATGGTCCTGGTTTTCCTGCTGACTCCCAAGCTGTCCTGCTCAGCATCTTCAGGGGGAGGTTCCTTTCTGCCAGACTTCTGGTTGATTGATTCAGCCTCCCTCGACTCCTTCCTGGCTCAGCCCTACAGCTTCTTCTTCTCACTGCTACACTTCCCCAGGTGGCCTCTTCCATCCTCAGGCTATAAATACTCTCCATATGGTGATAATCCCCATGGTGATCTCTCTACCATTGACTTCTCCCCTGAACTTCGGTATCTAATAAATTTCTCCAAAATGTCATGCCCAGAAAGAATTCTTTTTCTTTTTCTGCCAGAAAACCTGGTCTTCTAATCTTCCTCATTTTTGTAAAAGCAAAATGTGAACTGTGAATTTACTCAAGCTAAAGGCCTAGGAGTCACTGGGATTGCTCATTCTCTCACCCTGCATTTCCCACCATCAAATCTACCATTAAGTCTGATAGGCACTTCCTCCAGAATACATTTATATATTTTATATCTCTCCTATTTCAAAAGCCTACTAATTCACTCTACCTTACCCTATAATAATTCACTCCCTTCACAATAACCAAATAGATCTTTTAAAAATATAAATCAGGCCATAAGATTCCCTGCTTTAAATACAATAATGTCTTCCCCTTATTTTAAAATAAAATCCAAACTTCATCATGTGGCATACCAGGCTCTGCAAGTCGTCTCCTGCCTACCTCTGGCCAGATGCTCCCTCACATTCCCTGCCCAGTACCCTCTGCCACCTCAGTCTTCGCACTATTCTGCAAACATGCCGCATTTACTTCTGCCCCAGGTCTGTGTACTAGTTTCTTCCCTCTACTTGTGTTGTTTCACCTCTCATTTTTGCATGTGTGACTTTTTCATCTCTAATATCTCAGCTCAAATATTACCTACCCAGAGAGGCAGTTCTTAAAAAATGTAGCTAATACTTCTCTCTTCATTCCTCTAGTCATGCTCAATCCCATCATTCTACTTTGTTTCCATCATGGTTCTCCATAGGCATGCCATGCATCATAAATTTTAAAGTATTTTTTATTTATTTATTTATTTTTTATTCTTATGTTAATCCCCATACATTGCATCATTAGTTTTAGATGTAGTGTTCCATGATTCATTGTTTGAGTATAACACCCAGTGCTCCATGCAGAATGTGCCCTCCTCAATACCCACAACCAGGCTAACCCATCCTCCCACCCCCCTCCCCTCTAGAACCCTCAGTTTGTTTTTCAGAGTCCATCGTCTCTCATGGTTTGTCTACCCCTCCGATTTCCCCCACTTCATTCTTCCCCTCCTGCTACCTTCTTCTTTTTTTTTTTTTTTCTTAACATATATTGCATTATTTGTTTCAGAGGTACAGATCTGAGATTCAACAGTCTTGCACAATTCACAGCACTTACCAGAGCACATACCCTCCCCAGTGTCTATCACCCAGTCACCCCATCTCTCCCACCCCACCCCTCACTCCAGCAACCCTCAGTTTGTT